TGGCAAGTGTCTAAAGGGGATAACCAAGCCAAAATGAGTCACTCATGTACCACCTTAGAATCAGGCATAATGAAGATGGCAGAGGGAGAAGCAGTGACACCCTCGGGGAGCAATGCTGGCAAAGACCTGCTCCTTGTTACTATTCTAGCCGCACCTGGATTGTGTCTCTGGGCAATGCCAATTTCTGTGAGCTGGCACCCATCTCCCTAGGCCACCAAAGGCTCTCAGAGGTCTATGGTCCTTGCCCATGATCAGACACCATAATACTCTATAATCCTGCTTGAGTTTTGAAGGAAACCCCAAGGACCCAGAAGGTCCCTGCGTGTGAATCCATCAGCATGTGACGGAAGAGGCTAACAGTGACACATGGGTAGCAGTTTGAACACACATATAATCCACCTGAGAACACAGCCACATCTTCCAAAGTGTTGTGACAATACCTCACAGTTAGTGTTTCTGAGCAGAGCACAGAGTGCTCCAGCCAAAGGAGCTTCGATTCTGCTTTTATAAACAATGGAGTCTCCCAGGGTTTGTACAATCAGGATCTGTGCACACTCACTCTCCCAGGCTTATTTTCTTGGAAACTTTCTCAGATGCCCTAAGCCCCACCTGGGACTCAGATGATAGCTCTGAGGGGGCACTTAGCACATTGACATTCATCACCCAGCTATGAAATAATAGCAGCAAGAGCATCAGAAAAGGATGCTCTAAAGTGGAAATATCTGCATTGCTCCAAAATTACTGACAGTAGAATGGGCTCCAATTCTAACTTTAGATAACCTGTAATGCTATCCCTTTTTTTGGTTGCCTTATATACCTTCAAGCCTTTTTGCTTGTGATACCATATATCCATTGTTTTTTAATTATCCATACATCCATGTGGCTATATAGTTATCTCCAATAAACAGTACTATTCAAGACAGAAACTTTATCTGTTGGTAATCATTTATTATGCAGCTACTATTATTACATGTCCTTCAGGTCGGTACTCCTAAGGAGAGATGGTCCATAACCTGGGCACATTTGCAGGAGGATGACCAGTATAAATAAAGGGGCAGGTTGTACACCTTCTCAAAAGAAAATGATTAACTGAATAATTAATCAATTAACTCAAAGTAAGCATTTTATCACAAGTTATTGTATGCTAAATTTTTTAATTCATTATGATAATCTCCAAAAGAAACCTTTAAAGTAGGTGGTATTCTTTGACATACAAAGAAACTGGAAAAGAGATGAAATAACTTCAGGATTACACAAATAACAAATGGCTGAGTTAAGGCTTTAAATTTCAAAGCCAAGGCTTCCAAGCACTAAGGTGGATGAACTCGAGAGAGTTGAGTTTTGCATGAAGAGAGAAACAGAGAAATAAGGTAGTCTTCAAATGCTGGCAGGGCTGGTAGACAGACTTGAGGCGTGGCGGCTCAGGGACCATGGGGTGATGTGATAGAAAGATAGATTTATTTTCAATGTAGAAAGAAAGTGTTCAATTACTAGAAAATGTACACTGGTGAAATAAGTAATCTTATGATGTAGTTAGCTTCTTGCCACTGGATGTATTCAAGAAGGTATAAAGAGAATCATCTTTTAGATGTGTCATTAAGGATAGTCTCAATTTGAATGAATAACTTGAGCTAAAGTTCTTACTAATTCTGAAATTATTTGATTTTATTTATATGGTAAAACTTTTCAATGATACTGACCTAACACCATGAAAGTGGAGCTTTAATGATATCTAATTCTATGCTAATCCCTACATAAAAGAAACTATGAATATGAATATGATTATAGTGGTTACAAAAGTAACTATAGTAATGCCAAGACTGTTGTGAAAACAGTTTTAAAAGAGGAGAAACGCAGGCAATGGTGGGAGTCCCAATGGTACTCAGACAGTGTCTCACAAGATGAGTATCCTGTTGAGATGACTTAGTGAATAAGCTGTAGTTTTAATAACAGTCATTATTTATTGTGCATTTGCTATATACTGGAATTGTTCTGAGTCCCCTATATCTACTGTCTTTCAATTCACACTAGAAATCTATCAGGCAGATAGCATTATTTCCCTTATTTCTAGTAGGAAATCTTCAGAGTTTAAGCAACTTAACAGAGATAATAGAGTTGGTTAATTGTTTCTACCCAGAAAGGAAAGAGGATAAGAATTACAGCAGATTTCTTGCCAAAAACTATACAAGCAAGAATATTTAAACTGTTGAAATATCTAAAATACAGGATATAAAATTCTATATCCAGTAAACTTATCCTTCAAAAGTGGAGAAATAAAGACTTTCCCAAATGAAAATTAAAGACCTGTTATCCAAGAAATGTTAAAAGTAATTCTCTAGGAAAAAGAAAATGATACAGGTCAGAAATTCAGATTGACATAAAGAAAGGAAGAGTGTTGGAGAAGAAATAAGTGAAAGTGAAATAATCTTTCTTAATTGATCTAAAAGATAACTTTTCAAATTAATCACAAAGCATTAGATAATTATAACATATGGTAAGAGAAATGAATGGTAGCAATGCCACAATGGATGGGAGGATAGAATTAGGAAAACTGTCATAAGGTACTGGTACTACACAGAAAGTGGTATAGTGTTATTTGAAGATGGACTTAAGGTTAGGTTTAAATGTAAATAGTTAATTATTCTAATATTACAAAAATTAAGAACCACAATTATTATATTAAGAGTGGAGATAAAATAACACCACATAAAATGCTTAATTAAAATCAGAGAAGACAAAATGAGGGAAAGATTAAAAATAATAAAGTTAGACATGGTAGATATAAATTCAATATAAATCCAATATATTAACAATTACTTTAAATGATATGAGCACATCAATTAAAAGATACTGTCTGAGTGGATAAAAAAATATATGTTGTCTATAAGAAATCTACTTTAAATATAAAGATTCAAATAGGTCAAAAGTAAAGAGATGGAGAAATTTATACCATGCTAACACTTATCAAAAGAAAGCTGGAGTGGCTATATTCATTTCAGATGAAGTAGATTTCAGAACAAGGAAAAATATCAGAGATAAAGGCAAATATTACATAATGATAAGAGAGTCAGTTCTCCAAGAAGATATAATCATCCTAAATGTGTGTGCACCTAACAAGAGAGCATCAAAATATGTAATGCCAGAACTTAAAGAACTGAAAGGGGAAATACAATACATGGAGTTAGCTCTTTGCATGGAGTTTTTCTTAGTTTTCTTCTGGTTGACCAGATATGAGCAGATGAACTATTTTTAAGAAAGCAATGAGTTGGGAGAACAGCAGCACATGCTAAATGATCCCCAGGGTGACTATGTTGGAATTGGGGAAAACAGGTGATAGGTTTCATTAATAAGTCCAGGTGGCCCAGAGTACACCGCACTGAAGGCACCGGGCTGTTTGAGTGGGAGAATCGAGAGGCATTGCTACCTGCCGTCCTACTTGTGACCGAGTCTGCAGCAGCCAGGACACAACTGCAGGGTGAAAACAACCAGAGGGAGATGGAAGCAGCTTCCCTCCCGGGCTCCTTGCCCAGATCATCAGCTCCTGAGAGCACAGATGGCTGCTTTGTATGTTTTTAAAACATGGAGCACCAGCCGTGAAAGTGGGCTTCAGTGATGTGTCGAAACATGCTGCTGGTTATGGAGACCAACACTTGTTTAGGTTTGAGGGATGTACAATTGGCACAATATTTTCTTTCATGAGCTCAGACGGAAACACAAAACCATGCAGCTTTAAAACTGTCGTTGGGTTTGTATTTTAAGAGGCAAAAGTAAAAATTGTTGTTGTTATTGTTTGTGTTATTTTTTGCTTTAGAAGTCCCCATGCCCTAGCATAGTCTGGAAGCTGAAGGGTGAGAAAAAGGGAGATGAACAATAAATATAATGTGATCCACATAATAAATGCAAAGGGTCACCTTTCTGTGGGCAGAGGGCAGTTCTACACGTTTCATGGTCCTTAGGAAGCTGTCTCTTCTGCCATTACATTGAGAGGGCCAGTCTACATGGCAGACCTGGATACAAGCCTATTTCATGAAAAGATTAAGCCCTCACTTCTCAAATTTCAATGTGCATAAGAATTACCTGGAGACCATGTTGAAAAGCAGACTTTGACACAGCAGTCCTTGGAGTTTTCTAAACCCCTGCATTTCTAACAAGCTTCCAGGAGATAACAGAGCTCTACTCTACAGGGCACACAGCCATAAGCAAATTTGGAAGACAGTTCGGGCACCTCAGTCGCCACTACGCAAGTCAGGCAAGTCTTCCAGATGCCAGTGTCCTCAGCGGTTTAACAGAGCTCAGGTCCAGGTCCTCTACCTGAGTGAACACATGCGGAAGGCCCTGCTCAGAATCTTTGGATATTCAAGATGAAAGTGATGGTGAGTTCTAGTTTAGTCCCTTGTTCTACAGATGGGGATACTAAACTCATTTCATCTGTCCATCATCACATGACTATTTTAGTGAATTGTCAGAATTTTCTGACCACTGCCCTTTATTTGCCTCATATAAAACAGAAAAACCAGCCTATGCCAGGAGGTGTGGGTAGAACACAGTATGAACAGTGGAGGCATCAGGAAAGATGGAAGAAAAAACAAGGATTAAAATTTTTTTTAAATGCCAGTTCAGTAAATAAATCTGTAATAGATCAGATACAAGAAAGTGCAATGTATAGATAGTCAATTTAACATTGATACAATAGTATTTTAGGAGACAATACATCAAATAGGGTCATTTCCAGTAGGAGAGAGTATGTGGGACGTAAGGGTTCAGATGTAATCACAGGAGCTCGTTGCTTCGTCATGGGGTAGTGACCCAGGTTCAGGTCTTAGGCAAAGTTGCCTTTAAACCCACATTTTCCTTTATTTTACTAGATCAGAAACTGACTTAGGGGCCTCAAGGTTTCATGCTAGGACTAAGATATCATTATCGCCCTCTTACTAAGAGTTTTAAGATTACAGGGAAATCTCTCTCTCTCTTTCTCCCAAGTATGAGTCAACCCAAGACCCCTTAGGCAAGAGAGGAAAGACCTGTAGAATTGGCTAGTAAAGCCCCGGAGAGCCAGACAAGAAGGTCCCCAACAGTGCCAGCTCTCATAGCGGATCCCTCAAATCTCTCTTGGTGGTCTTGGGGTTATATTGATCCCGATTTTGGCTGTCAACCTCTCCTCCAACTCTTCATCCTATCTAAGAATAGATAATTGCATAGTTCACCAGTCTGGTCCTGAGAAGTATATCAGATCAAAAGTGAAGCAGTGACTCTACAGCATCTTACTACACTGATGGGACAGTGACTGCAATGGGGTATATTGTGGGGACTTGATGATGTGGGGACTAGATGATGGGGACTTGATGATGAACCACAATGTTGCTCATCTAATTGTAGATTAATGATACCAAAAAAAATGTGAATAGGCAGTTATAAGGCAGAGGATTCTTTGATTCAGGCATATTCCCTAACATTAATGTTGCAACCTTTAGTCTGAAGTCCTTGTCACCTGTTTAGCATGTTGCTTATCACTCTGGAGAACCTGGGAGGAACAGTACTGCCTGTGAACGCTTTGAAATCCTCCAAGAAAGGGAGCACGTCTGGGAGCCCTGACACCCGGCTGCACGACGTGCTGGGAGAGGAGCATCGTATCCGAAGGGAGTCCGGGACAGAGCAGCTCGGAGGTGTGGGCACCCTTTACTTCTGTGACAAGCTGATGGGATTGGTGGAAACAGGAAACACGTCGCAGCAGAAGGCAGGGGGAAGGGGAGGTCGGGAGCAAAGGACAGGCACTTGTGAGTGTGGACAGTGTGTTCAAAGGGCGAAGACGGCAGGGTCCACCGATGACTTGAGGAAATCAGTGGCTGCTTTCACAAGCAGATGTACGATGGAGCCTGTTACGGGGAAAAAACAGAATTGGAGCTGAGATACAGTGGAGAGTGCAAACGCTCTTCTCCCAGGCTCCCCTAAACTTCCCTGGTCATCTCCCCTGAGTCCTGCTTTTATCTTCCCTCAACTCCCTGACTTTTCCATTCTCCTGCCCAGATTCCCCTTAATCTCCTCTGGCCCCAGAAATATTCAGCAGCCATGAGATAATCGACACCAAAGGGGTAAGTGCTCAAGTCCACTCTTGCCCTCAGCATGGTACTGAGACGAGGAGGAGGATGGGTGCCACTTCGTGTCCTTCTCCCAATTCACACTTCCGACCCATGCCCCCTTTCCCTCTTTACTCCTCTCCCCATCCCCAAGGATGAGACTGCACCCACATCCTGCCAAGGAAGGAACTAGCTGGGAGACCAACAAGGGGCTGCACCAGGAGGGATGGCAAAGGGGCTCCGGGGACCCTGTCCTTGGCCACCCTTTATCAGGCCTGAAGGCTTCATGCTTGGGAAGATGGCTAGCTTCTCAAGGAGGGAGGGAGATGGGTCTTGGGATCACATTCTTACCTGTGTGGCTGTGAATCCAGGCCACAGCCTTCCTTTCCAGAAGCTCCCACTCACACTTCACGTCCTTACCGTTGGCGTGCAGCCAGAGCACCGCCAGGACCGTGGCCCAGCTTGAGGAATCCACACTCTGTACAATGGAAAGAGCCACCTGACGCCTCTAGGCTGGGGTATGAAGTCCCTCAAGGGCTGCAAAGACTTTGCTCTCTCCTCACTTACAATCCTCCCAAGTGCTGCTAAATAGGACCACCTGGTCTCTCTTTACCTCATCTACTATGTGCAAGGCAGAGGGCCAGGCCCTGCACCTCAGGGCAATAATCCATCAACTCTTAGGGTAGAAAGGTTTTAAATCCAGTGTAACCACCAGGACAGTGCTTAAAACTCCTAAAAGACTCCCAACAAGGATTACCCCTGTGACAAGAGAAACACATGCATAGCTGCTTGATATTTTAGAAAGTATCTTCACGTTTTTTTTTTAAATTTGAACCCTTATGAAAACAAACAAACAAGAATAAGGAATTATCAATAACCACATTTTTAAGAGAGAAAACTGATTCCAACAAAAGTAAAATGATTTGCCCAAAGTTAGCTTTCTAGAAAATGATTAAAATGGGACTGGAGGCCAACATTCTGATTCGAGTCATAGGTCTCATGACACTCAACAGGAAGTCTCCACCATAGGACAGGAAACAATCTCCTGTGAGTTTTCACCCACACTCCCAACTTCAGTTTTTAGTGTCAACAGATCAAGAGAAATTCCTCCTTTATATCATGACCTTAAAATTTGGAAACAGCTATCATGTGTTGAGTAGTCTTTTTTTAGACCAAAATTCTCAGTTCCTTTACTTCTTTCTTAAGAGGACTTTTTATGTCAAAGCAGTAAAAATTACCATGTGCTCGTTCTCCTAGTCTAGAAAAAAACACCACAGTGATTTTTTTTTAAATCTCCTTATCTGGTCATATCTGGAGATGAATGTACTTATGAAATTCCATGGCCACAGCCCCCAAATACATAATACAGACAACTTAGTACTGTTGCCATCCACTAATCATGTTTCAAATATGCTGATTCATATTGCTTGCGATCATCTAAGAATCTCTGATTTTCATGTATAACAACTCTTAAATCATTTTGTATCTGTTTTCTGTACCTGAGATTTTAGAATCAAACACCATATTTTTATTTCTAAGTTGTTGTTATTGTTTTTTTGGGAAAATTTCAAGTCATTGCTCAAGGTCTTTGGGGTTTCTGATTTTCTTGCCTAATACTCCCAGTTCTTTCCTACACAAATGGGAAAGCCTTGGTCTGCATCTTCATCTAAATTTTTATTGAAAATAGGGACTTCCAGAGAATTCAGAGGCAGGAGGATCTAAAAATCTCTTTCAAGTTTGAGTAAATTCATTATTTGGTGCGGTGGATTTTCAACTTGTTTGTATTCAGTGTATATACTGATCATTAAAAAAAAAAAAAATTCAAATTCCTTACTGAAATTCAGAAACACCGTGGCTCTTGACTCCCCTGACTTTATTGGCCCAGCTGCCATGTCAGAGGACATATTAGTCTGACATGTCTTATTCTCAGAAACCAACTTAGAACTTCATGATTGTTGTATCTTCTTTCAATTGTTTATAAATAAATCATCTTTTAAATTCTTTGTTCTAGAACAGTGTTCTTTGATAGAAATATAATGCAAGAAGTACATGCAAGTTTCAATGTCCTGGTAGCCATATGTTAAAATGTAAAAATAAAGAGATACAATTATTTTACTAATAATTTGTCTAGCCTAATAATTCAAAGTATCATATTAGCATGTCATCAAATAAAAATAATTATTGATGAAATATTTTACATCTTTTAAAATATTTAAATTGTCTTTGAAATCAGTATGCATCTCACAATTAGAGCATACACCAACTCAATTCAAAGATCAGCTTCTCATTTGTACGAGCCACATTTCAAGTACTCGACCACCATATGTGACTAGTGGATATTACATTGGATGGTGCAGTTATCAGATATCTGAACTTTATTTAAGCACCTTCCACATTTTGAAAATTCAGCATCGCACCTGTCCTTCAGGCTTTGGTATCTGTCTCACATGTAATCATTTCTCAATTTGAAGACTTATTTAAGCTGCCTTGAAATTCTGGAATATCATTTGTTCTCACCAGCTTTCTTGAACACATTCGAAATAACTAGTTCATCCCTATTAATACTTCACCTAAACTGACTTTGGTGAAATTTTGCTAATTTCTGGCCTCTTCCTTTAGTATGGATAGGAGCAATAATGTTGAGTTCTGAAGATAGACAGTCCTAGATTTGCATCCAGCACTGACTGCCACCCCCAAAAAACATACCCAATCATTTTTCTTCTCTGAATCTCACCTCAACAGGGATTGCAGCCAGTATGTTTTCCACACTCATACCTAGGACCACAGCCAGACCTTCGTTCAGATCCCAGGAACCATCTGCCCTTTGGAGGGAAATCAGCTGCACAAGATGATTATCTCCGAAGACTTTGGGGAAGAAATAAAGAGAGAGGATAGGAAATCATGGAGCTTCTGGCCCCTAAGCATACCTGAGAGAGACAGGCCTGAATTCAGAGACAGGCTGTATAGGAAGAATGCAGGCCAAGCAGATGCTACCAACATCCCCACTGCAGTCCCTCCCCCAGGTGACTGGCATTTTCTCTGTGACAATGTAGGCCACCCTGAGGGATATACTGACCCTAGCTTCACATAAAAATCCAGCAACAAGTGAAAGATATGGGGTACTATAGGACCCACGTGACAGTGTTACTTCAACTCTGACGCAGTCCTTAAAACGGGCCTCAAAAATTTAGGAATTAAAAAGTTCTAGATAAATAAAGCTTGAATTTTAATTATCAAAAATATCAAAGGGAAGGAGATATAAATAAAGCAGTCAGCAGTCTACCTCAAAGGAGAAGACTAGTGTCTAGTGTCTAATCCTGACGGTATGACAATCGCTTTTTAAAGACCACACTTTTCACAGACAGTAGCTCCCATCTGGTTACCTATCATACAGGATGATGTGCTAAGAGCAATTAAGAAAGGAATAGGCAAGAAAAAGTGTAACTAGAAAAACAGTGCTACTCTAATGAGAAAAACAATCTAAGGCTCTGAATTTCAAGTCTTAGGTTGATCTCAGCTGTGCTAACTCTGAAAATGCAACCGTTATTTAACCAATGGGAATCTACAGCCTCCGCTGTGAATCAGAGACAACAATGCCTAATGCAGGGAAAGAATGTAAAGTACCCAGAAGACCCCTAAATGACTCCCTAATAGTAGTTAGTAATTCCTAATCAATTCAAAAACTCCAGCAGCATAACACTGCTGGGTAATTTCCTTCTACTTTGGTAAGGGGATTCATGCAAAGCTCCGAGTGGAGATATTCTCAATTCCTGGGATCTGGGACATACAGACGCACACACAGAACCTGCACCATGGGCAACAGTTAGAAGGCTCTCATGACAACCCTATGAGGTCAGTAGTCGTGCAGCTGAGGGAACTGAGGCTCTGGAAGTGAATTAATTTGCCCAAAACCCCAGAGGATTTAGGAGAATACAGACATCTGAGTCCACTGTAGACCTCGAAGTCCTTGCTCTAACTGGCAGCCTGAGGAGAAAGAATAAGTAGAGTACGTGGCAAAGGAGATGCTTAAACAACTTAACAATTGTGCACCACAAACTCTTGCTACAAAAATTGGACAGACTAGAAAGAAGTTGTCTTTAGCCTACTTTAGTACAGAAGGCACCCCTGAATGGTGAAATGTGTTTTGACCCGGTTTCTCACATACACGAGAAAGCCCACTGCTTGGAATACAGGGCAATGACCTGAGAATGCCCTTTGGTGACAGAGAGAAAGCCATCAGACAGCATCAGGAGGATCTTTCTTCAAATCCAACCTGTGAAAGGCTGATGAATACAAGAGAGGCCCAAACAGGGGGAGCAGAGCTCTGCAGGAGGAGGCGCCAGCCCCTAGCAAGGTGTGTGTGCTGAGGTGCAAAGGGGGTTTGTTTAACTAGAGCTCAACCCAAACTCCCCTGGGATAGATCTCAGGCTCCTCTGCCGTGGACTAATGAAGCTGATCCGACCCTGGTAAATATAGGGACTGGATAAATCCCACCTTCTGCTTGGCATCTGTCAAAGAGATTACCTCCTGGGTAAAGAAAGGCACAAGACAACAGAGGGTTGAAGATTAGTTCTTCAGTCCCCATAGATCAGAGAACTGAGGCCCTCGCACCTGTATGGTAAGCTTCCAAGCTGGTCCTGTTGGTGGGAGAATCAGCCCTTTCCATCTCAGGAGAGGTCTTATTGGGAGACTTGCATTTCTTCTTTGAGCTATGACCAAGAGCTTGGGGTTCGCATAGTCCTATATGTGTGACAGATAAATACTGGTGAGAAAAAATTACTGGTGAGAAAAAAATCCCTGAAAAGATACTCACCTAGAGAGTACAAGCCCTTGTCAATCATGGATCTAGAAGAATCATGACTCTGTTGGTATGACATGTCCAAGCGATGTATGCTCCTTGTGGGCCGAGATGCAGGACAGTAGGACGAGGCCTTTGCATGAGCTGAAAAACACCAGCAGAGACACTGACAGTGAGCTTCCCTCTGCTCTCTGCTACAGGCAAAGGGCCCTGACAATTTAGAAAACACACCCTCTCATCCATGTCAGCCTCAGTCACCATCTTTACTATGAATTTTTGCTTCTCCCACAAGCCCATCTGCACATACCCTCACCCTCTGATCCCTTTCTACCGTGTCCTCTGGAACCCTTGATCCATGACAATGGTCTTCTCTGCATCTTAAATTTCATTACAGCAGGCTTCTCCCAGTTACTCATCTTAACTTAAAACTAATGTTTCCTTGCATAAACCTGTTCTCCGTCTATCCTCAAATGGTGGTTTCTCAAGGTACCATATCCCAAGCACCCATATTTGGGAGGGGGATTGGCAGCATCTTCAATTCCAATTGCCATATCCAGACCATTACACCACCACCCTCACCTGGCTTACCAACCTCATATCCTCACTGCTGTCAACCTCCAACCACTTTGTTACCTTTCATTAGTCACTAAAGTATCTGAAAGCTCAATTCCAGACTTCATTACAAGGCCTGCCATCATCTTGACAGATTTCAGTACCATGTAGATAACCTATCCAACACCCTAATTCAAAGCTTCTTGACCTCCTCCAGTTAAATGCCTACAGCCTCCATTTTACTTGAGCCACTCCCTCCCAAGCCAGGATCTTGTTACCAAGCAGAACTGTTGCACCTGTACAAAACAAATAAAAAAAAAAGACAACTGCTTTTTTAATACAATAACTAATTTTTCCAGGTTTCTTACTCAGAGATTTCTATTCCACTTGCTCTTTGACCTTATCTGGATTTTTGTCTCCTCTGTTTTTCTTTTAATACATCAATTTCCTTCTCTTTACTTTCTTCTCTAACCTAAATCTAAGGCCCCACACTCTATCACTCTCTTACCAATATTGCCAATTCCATGGTCCTAATTCCCTTTCCCGCACACCCAGCTGGCAAAACCTCAAAACTGAGCCAGCACCCTTCACTCTACTCCCCTCTTCCTCCTGCCAAGTTGCTGAGTACTGAAGAAATGACTCGTGCAAACTGTGATTCCCCTTTGTAGTTTGGTGCCACTAAAAAAGTCAAGGGATTGAAACTACCCAGACCCTCAACACTCCTTGGCAAATGCTCTATTTCTCCCTGGGCATTTCACTCTCCAACTGTCCTTATTGCTACTTGAAACCCTTCCTCAAATTCTCTCTTTTACCACTTCTAGGCTCATGCTCATTCTCATCTTGCTGTCTCCCTCATTGAAATTATAGAAAAACTATCAGAGACCCCAAAACCTTGCTTCTCAGCCACTGAATTAAAATCGAATCCCATCACCTTTCCTCCACCTCCTGGGAACAGTGGGAGAATATCTAATACTTGTCCTTTCACAGGCTAGTCTCTTCCTGCCCGTGGTCTCATCCTCTCTCCATCCTCACCCTTCTCAGTTCACGACCCTTTTTTCACTCCAATATTGTCAACTTTCTCTACTGGCACTTTCCTTTTAACCTGACAACATCCTCAAATCTCTCCCTTTCTGAAATTTCAAGAGATAACAACCCACAAAAAAACCCTCTACTCCACAACCTCTTCTAGAGATGCCATCTTTATCCCTTCCCATTTTCAGCTTAACGTTTATAAAAAGTGTCTATACCTGCTGTCCTTCATTTCCCGCCTCTCATTTACTCTTTAACATTTTAATTTGCGATATGGATTCTTTCTTGATCTAACCCAATGAAATTGTTCTTGGTTACATTAACAAGGATGTCTTTGGTGTTAACCCAGTAGTCCCCTCCCAGTATTTTTACTTCTCTGCAGTATCTGATATTTCATAATTCCCTTGGTATCTCACAGTTTCCTTTTCCCTTTTTTTAAAAAATATGCATCCACTTCTTTCCTTCCTACTTTACCCCTTTTCATTCAGGTTTGGGGAATCCTCTGCTATCCATCCCTAAATACTAGGTATGCTTCAGAGTCCTCTCATCATTTTCATCTCACTATACACCTACCCTATGAATAACTCACCCATTCTTATGGCTTTAGTCATTACCTAGATGCTGAATATTGCCAAATGTGTATCTTCACCCCTGACCTCACTTCTGAATACCAAAGCCATCTATTTCCCTTTCTGCTGGACACCTTCATATGGCTGTGCCATAAAGATTTCAAGTTTGAAATGCTCAAAAATAATTCAACATTTTTACCCCCTAAACTTGTTGCTATTCTTTAGTTACTCTATTTAAATAAAGAGTACGATCATCCACCCACATGCACAAACAAAAATCTAGGTGGACCTTGAAGCCTGCCTCTAGAGTTGACGTCATACATTCCGCTCCAGCTACACAATCCCGACACGAGAATTTTTCCGCCTGATGAGTCAGGTGCCCCTGGACTGGCTCCTAGAGAACCTTGTTGATGGCAAACCTCAAGTCCCTAATATCTGTAACAGGCCTGTGTGACTTACATCTGAGACAGTCCCAGCCATCAGCACCCATTCCTTAAACTACCAGGTTGTTCATCAGCCATCTGGGTAATTATTAACCATCTAATCATTAGCCATCAAAGGATAAATCAGCTTCAGATTGAGACAGTGTGACTCCTCAGTGTTTATGTGCATTTTCCATTTTAGTTTTCTGTGTTTTCCATTTAGTTTTCCTTTTTTTTTCCCTTGGACTATTTTAAATCTTGCCCATGGGATACAGTCTAGTTGCCTGGGACTGAAAAGTTTAACACCAGTCAGAAATCCTAGATGTGGGGGGACAAGGAAAAAAATGCAACTCAAAGACCTTTTATAAACTCTTCCTTTAAATTATGTGTTCAGATACCCAGGGTACCTTACTTTGTCTGAGCTTAAATGGGGTTAAACTCACCACTTCCAAAGGATTGTGCCATCACAGCAGTAGTGCTGAACAGAACTGGCCTTGGAATATCCCGATGGGCCAGGGGCCCCTGGACTGGCTGGTTGAGCTCCTTGTTGATGGCGATGAAAGCTGTGTGGGAGCTTATGACTCCACACTCGAGGCTGACATCCAGCACATCTTTTTTATCCTTTGCTGGGGTCTTCTGGAAGCCCACGTCCTTGGTCTGGAGGAATGACTTGGCAGCAAGGCGGTGAATGGTAAGGCTGAAAGACAAAACCTCCTGTGACTTAGGGAAAAGCACACATGTACCAATTACTCAGGGCCCTCAGAAGGTAGGATGGCAAATGGGAAGAAAATGCTGGAGAGGGGGAGAGACAGGACTTGAGTGGGTTAGAAAGGAAAAGGGACTGTCAGGAAATAAATGAGCCCAAAATTAAGAGAAGAAAACCAACCCCCAAGGATGGCAGAGAAGAAAAAAGAAAAGGAAAGGCTAAGGATAAGGAAAAAATGGAGGAAGGGAGGAAGGAAGAAAATAGCAAAGGAAAATTGAATTCTCTTACTTGTCATCAAGCTTAGGTTGTAGAGGAAATGTCACCTTATTCTCAAAACTCTTGCCCTGGAGTGTGTACTTGAGGCAAACTTCTCCTGTTGCCTCTGCAGACTACAAATTAAAGAAAAGCAAAAATGATGGAAAGCAGAGGTTACTGAGAAAGGTCAGGATGGGGGCAGCAACCCAACCCAACACGTGATAATTTCTAACTAGGAGCCAGGTAGCTCAGGAGAGCAGAGACTTGAATGCGGGAGAAGAGGGTAGGCGGGCTCCTCTGAGCATGGGTGATCTCTTGATGAGACTCAACCAGCTTTAACTCTGCTCTGAACAGAACGTACCTCAGGGAGGGAGCTGCTCGCACTAGAGGTACAAACAACAACAGGAACTCACCAGCATCACCCCAGTCAGCTGGGCATAGATGATCAGTCTCTGGCTCCTAAAGATGACGGTTTGTTCTGGGGAAAGCATTGTAGCAGACAAGCCAGGAGGCAAATCCCATCTCAGAGAAACGTCGTCTACCACAGGCTGTAGAGAATGTTTCAGGGCCCTAAGGGCCTATGGTCGGAAAGAGAACAGAATACATACAAAAAATAATAATGGCAACAATAACCGCTATTAACTGAATATTTATTAGGCACCAGGTGCTCTGCAAAACAATATATATTATGCCTATTCCTTTGCAGACCCGAAGACGGGCATTACTGCTCTTGCTTAACACGTGAGGAAGAGAAAGCCAAGAGATTTAATAGCGAATGTGAAGGAAGGAAACGTCTGGGAAAGGAGACCCTGGGGAAGTAGGAATTAGATAAGAGATGGCGCCACTGGGGATGAAGGACTTAGAAATAAAACCAGAGGTGGAGGCTGCCTTCCCTCCTGCATGCTGATCAATTGGAGTTGAGATTTACCCCCTCTGCCAACCTACCAAACACATTGCAATTGCTCCTTCTCATTTCCTTTGTATCATTTGCATGGAGGACAGGCTATAGTACCAAAGAGTACAGCCTACAGTTTCAATCGTGGCAGTTAAAATTCTTCATTTCTCTGCTTCTAGTCTTGAAGGCCCTAAGCTCTTCCACCATCTTGTTTCTGGGCTTCCAACTACTGGATGTGCGACTTCTCCAGAAACCACTGGGGGGGCCCCTCTTACATAAGACCAACACTAGCCCCACCAAGTTTACAGCCAGAGGCTGTGGGTTTTAGAAAATGAATCCTGATAGCCTGTGGCTGCGTCTACCCTTGCAGCAGCGTCCCCCCTGCTCCACACTTATTCTGGATCACCCCTCACCTTGGACTGCATCCTCTCCTTGCCTGTGATGAATTCTGAAGTGCCCCTTGCTACCCGGGCAATGCCTTTTATTAGGCTGGTGGAGGCTCCTTCTCCAATCCCAAATGAAAAACATCTGTGATTGAACAAGAATAAGAGGTTAGAGACAGGCACTAAAGAGTGAAATTATGAAACTAATGCATAATGGTCAAAAATACATAGTCTACTTCTTAACTCAAAGACAGTAACTACCATTTATTAACCATATTGTATTTATCAGGAGGTCGAACACCTTAAATTAATGATGCAACTTGATCATTAAAAGACTCCTCAGAGGCAAGCTTATGCTTCATTTTGCAGATAAGGTACCGAGGCCCAAAAAATTTAACAAATCTTGTCCAAGATCACACATATATAAATGGTAAGATGGCATTTGAGCACAAGTGTATCTGACTGCAAGATTCCCCTTGGCAAACCATTATATATTATGCTGATTCTAAAAGCAGAAAAAAACAAAATAATACTACATACTCCTCAGTTATCTTAATAATCAAGCCAAAGAATTGGTTAATCAGAAAATGGGAGAGTTAGGAAATAATATACTATCAGCAGTGCTTGGCTAACATCGTTCTGGAACCACAAGTGCCCTGGCATGGCTGGTCTTAGGGTGGGCAAGAGCCCCTCCTGTTCTTCTGGCTGGAGAATCGCCCCCTGCCCTAGGCCATGAGCACCAAGTTGCTTTTTCATCACAATTTGGCTTCCCCAACAGAACTGCCTATAAACAGAGAATAACGTGTTGGCAACACTAATACAAGCATTTATAGAAGGCACAACAAAGATAGTTTCCATTGTAAACTAACACACAAGCTTATGTCTTCTGAACTGGGTTAGTGTGAGTCATTATCCCCAGATCTAGTGACATCAGCATCAGAATCAATGCTCTAAACTTATCAGGCTAGGAACCAGATCTCTAATTGGGGCGACCTAAGTGTGACAGTGCTCCCTGGAGCCCTTAGCCTGCCAACATCTTGATATTATCACCTTTAAATGACCAACAATACCTTTAGACTGTGGCTTATGCTCTTCGTGGCTTATAAAGGGCTTTAATGAATGTGTTTAAGTGTTTTTATGTATAAAATTAAAGCTAAACAATATTATCGATAGCTTACTATATGTCCAGAATCTACTTAAGTGCTTCATGCAGATAATAAGGATAATGAATTACAATAATGGCAAACATTTGTATAGCACTTCTTTTATGTCAAGCACATTTCCTAATGCTTTACCCTCACAGTAAACCTACAAGTAATACTACTCTCTCCCTTTTCAAGTGAGGAAACTGAGGCTTAGAGCATTTAATTTAGTTGATTTGTCCAAACAGCTGGCAAGCAGGAGAACTGAAACCTAAATACAGGATATCTGACTGAAAGTGTAACACCCTGGAAGGTTCTGCTCACAGCAAGGCTAGAGTAAATTGTTTCAAGCTGGTAGAGAACTAGAAAAGTGGTATACAAAATTTTTAATAATCTCTTTGGAAACATCAATATGCTACGAAGACAATAAGAATCTGTGTGCAGAGAAGTGGGACAGGAGATAAGTCAGGAGAGATGAGCCTGCCATCTGGGTATCCCTTTACCCCTTGAAGCAAATGCCAAGGACAGATGGATGGCTAAAACGTGGAAAAGTCAAGCAGTTTCACTTCGGGTTTTCCAAAGAAAAGTTGCCCTTGTAGACACCTTAGGTTTTTTAATACAATGATGAAGAACTACACCCTAGAGGTAGAGGTGAATCAGAAGTAAGTCAGCCATCAAACGACTGATGCTCATTATAACTGGACTAAGATTATCTGCTGTGGTCAGCAACCTGCCAGAAGCAAAAAGTAAATCCTCACAGAGGGAAAAATAGCATCATCCATGGGCTCCAAGTATTTGTATAATTTTTCATAAAAAATATCTGACCACTGACAAACAGGAGGTCCCCAAATACTAGAAGATTATATAACATGCCTTTGAGTAACATAGGTTTTAAAGAAAAATAAAACATAATGATAATTAGACAATATTCTCAACTGGATACCAATGGAAAATGACATATCGAAATTTAGGATTCAGCTGCTGATATGCCTACATTATCAGTTCTAAATACATATGTTAGAAAAGAAGAAAGAAGTCTAAAGGTCAGCCATGTGGGCCTCCACCTCCAGATGTTAGAACAGAAAAGAAATCCAAAGAAGTTAAAGTAAAGAAAATAATAAGCATAGGCACAGACATCATCAGTGGAGAATCACATGATCGGGAGGGGTGACAACTCAGAAGTGCTGGTGTTTTGAAAAGATTATTAAAATTGAAAAACGTTTAGGGCCAGGAAAAAATAGAGAAAGTCCAAATAACCAACAAGAGGAATGAAAAAGTAAGACTATCAACAAGTCCTACAAAATGTAATGACATAATAAGACAACATCAGAGACAGGCTAATGCAAAGAAATTTGAAAATTTGTGTGAAACATACAGACTCCCATAAAAAGCAAGAACATATAAAAATAGGAATAGTTCTATTTCAATTAAAGAGATTTAAAAACCTTCCCCCAGAGAATGTCTCCTGGCAATGTCTAGTAAACATCTAAGAAAGAAAATCAGATTATAGAACACAGACAAGGCTTCTCTACACATTTTATGATGTCATCATAGTGTTGATATCAAAACCTGACAAGAATATTAAAAAAGAAAATAGTCATGAAAACAAATTTAAAAATCCTAAACAAATATTTGCCAGCTGACTACAAAAATACATGAAAAAGGTTAATAGATCACAACTAACTTGGGTTTATTTCAGAAATGCAAAGTTAGTCTGACATTTAACAATAGTCATAATTCACACATTGAAAAAACAAGGGATAAAATTATAGACTCAACTCAATGCACATATAAAGTGTATTTAATGAAATTCAACAACAGCTCATTATTAAAAAAAGAAAGAGAAAATAATGTTCGAAACATAAGCCAAAGGAAATTTCCTTAATCTGATCAAGAGTATCTATGAAAACAAAAACAAAAAGCCCTACAGCAAATAATCACAGTTATTGGCACAGTGTTGAACACCTTCCTTCTGAGGTCCAAAAAAAGATGTGGATGCCAACCATGACCATTTTTTTTCAGGTTTATACTAGACTTCCTTTCCAGGGCTTTACAGAAGGAATACAAATAAAGACATAAGGGTTGGAAAGGAAAAATTAAAACTGACATTATTTGCAGACATGATTACCCATAGACAATCTAAAAGAATCTACAAATATACCATTTGAATTCATCGAAAGCTGGCAAGGTCATTGATGACAAGGTTAATATAAATTTAAAGAGCTATTGTAATCAATTTCTATAGAAATAAACATCCAAAAAATAAAATGTTTAAAAAATAATACTTAAAGTACCATCAAACACCTAGAGGAAAATATCGAATGAAAAATGCATGAAGACCAATACACAGAGAATTATAAACCATTATGAAGACATTTTGTGTGCATTGTTAGGTTAAGGAAATGATTAAACTCACTGATTTTTGTGGGAAACCAGGTTTCTCACCATGAAGGAAAAAAGAGACAGATATGAGTAAAGATTTAGGTTGCTATCTTGGAAGTCGGGGTATCAGGAAAAATGTGTGTATTTTTAAACATCTGAGAGTTCTGTCTGCTGAAATGCCTAGAATTAATAACAGCCCAGTAGTAAAGAGTTACACCAAAAAATTCAAATACTGACTTTGATTTATCATTTTTCTAAAAAGAACAAGGCACCTTGTAGAAATGGTTAACTACAAGGATGGGAAAGAACAGATAAGCCTGAAACATTTTTTTTTTGTAAGAAAGAAAGGAAATATTCATAAACCAAAGAGACATGAAAAGACATAGGAGCACGTTAAAAGGAGCTTGCATTGGCCAAATCCAGAAATTTTGAGGATCTAAATCAATAATGAGAATAATGCATCTTAAAAAATTGAAAAATAACAAATGAATCCAAAAGTATTTTGATACATCAAAACCAAGAGAGGGAAGGGAGGAAGGGAAAGTTCTTTATAGTAGGATGCCAGCCAATATAGAAAAGTTGACAGAATTTAAAAATCACTATTTTGTAACCACTGACAGTAATAACATATGGATAATAAACATCAGTGAATGTTAAAACTACTGGCAAATTGTTTGTTAAGAACAAGATGTTTACAAATATTCCAAGTTATCTGTCAGATACCACCTTTAACTAAGTGGTCAAATTTACTACCAAGCACATTACTTTGGAAAATCGCTTCCAAAAATATTTAATATTCATCTAAACATGAATTTAAATGGCCCAACATAAATTGAGATTCAACTAGCTAGTACCCTTTCATCTATTATGCGTCATTTTGGTGTCATGAAAGAATGAAAAGTTAAGAAACTACCCCTGATTAAAGGAGACTCAAGAGAGGACAATGAAATAAAATACTTGTTTTTGGATTTCCTCTAAAACGAAAACAGAAAAAAATAAAAAACTATAAAGGATATTATTAGGAAAATGGATAACATGGCCTCTTTTTAGTATCAACTCAACATTAAATATCCTGAATTTAGTGGTTTTATTGTGGTTATTTATCAGACTGTCCTTGTTCTTAGAAAATGAGTGCATAATTACTTGCATCTGAAGTGTCACATCTGTGGTCTGGTCTCAAATATTCCAGACAAAAAAAATTATAGGAGAAGCAAACATGGTAAAATGTTGATAATTGTGGACCTGGGTGAGGGGCAGAGGAGTGTCTATTCTATTCTGTTTTTGCAACTTCTCTAGAGGTTTAAATTTTTTAATTAAAATACTGGAAACAACATCTAGAAAAATCAAGAAAGACCTAAATAAATGGAAGGATAGGCTATGTAAACAGATTGGAATACTCAACATAGTAAATGCTAAATTCTCCCAAAACTGATTTATAAAGTCAATGTACTTTTAGTCAATATGCCAAGAGTTACCCTTTTTTTGTAAAATTGATAAGCTAATTCTAAAATACAAACACAGTCAAGAATAACTAAGAGAATCCTGAAAAACAACAAAGTTGAGGAATTAGTCTATTGGAAATTAAGACATCAGAAATATGGTGTAGTTCTGGCACATGTCTAGATACAGAGACCAAGGGAATGGAATACAGGATACAGAAACAATCTACACGTGTGTAGATGCTTATCTGTGACAAGAATGACATTGTACATTGGTGAGAAAAGGACAAACTTTGCAATAAATGGTACAGCATCAATTTGGTATCCACAGGAAAAGAAATGAAACCTGACCCCTATAACATACTAACAAAGTGCTTATATCTAGACCACAGAATGAACTACAGGTCAGTAGAAAAAGAAAATCTAATAGAAAAAAAAATAGGAGAGACATGAAGGTATATTACAGAGGAGGACATCCAAGTGCCAGTAAACATGAAAAGATGCTCAACTTCATTAGTCAGCAGGAAAATGCAAATTGAAATCATAATTAGATGCCACACCCACCCACAAAGTTAACTAAAATTTAAAAAGACAACAAATGCCAAATTTTGGATAAGGAATGTTGCAGTTGGAACCCTCATACAATACTGCTGTGAATTAAATCAAAACTTGGAAACTGTTTGGCATTCCCAATAGATTCCACAATTACAGCAACTCAAAGAAATGTATATGTGTATGAAAACAAATATGTATACATGCACATATAGGTACACACATGTGTGTGTAAAAAAAACATGTACAAGAATGGAAGCATTATTTTTAACAGCCAAACTCCACCAGCAGTAGAATCAAACAATAAATTACAGTCTAATCATCATACAGAATACTACACACCAATGAAAATTAACCACAGCTCCATGCCAAATATATATGAATCTCAGCATACTGCTGAGGGAAAGAAGCAAGATACACAGAAACAAAAACATATTGTATAGCCCCTTTATTTTCATTCAAAAACAAGAAAAAATAATCCATAGTGTTCTATGTCAGAAAAGCTATTTTCCTTTAGTGAGGAAAAGGTAGATAGTGGTTAAAAATGGCATGTGATGGAAAAGGTAGAGATGGAGAGGTACTGGTGATACTCTAGTCCATGACCTGTGTGGTGGTTACACATGTGTGTTCACCCTGATAATTCATCCAGCTGTATGTTTATGATTAGCATTGTTTCTTGAATGTTTTACTTTGATAAATACATTTATAGAAAAAAATAATAATATCTTACTATTCAGTTTTTGCCTTCATTATGATTTACAGAGTATAAGGGACAATGATCTTGCTGTATTGTTATTTAGAAAATTAATTTTATCTTAGTAGAGAGGGGAAAATGACATAGAAAAAATTTGTCAGTTGGTAAGACCAAAATTCTTGAATTAGTCTGTCTTCTGAGAGGTATATCAACAATGTCATCACCTGGATTACAAGTGGCACTGGATTACATCTGGCACTCCTTGGGTCAGTCACCCAAAAATCACATTATCTTCTTACCTGTGCCTCAGACCGTTGCTCTTAACTTCTTTAATTACACTAAATGTGTCTGTAACTTCTCCATCTGTGAAGACAAAAAGCTGCAGAAAGAAGAAAGACATTCATCAAGTCTCTGTGAAGTTCGTTAAGACACCAGAATCTACCCTTAAAAAACCCAGTTATCAGCCACTCGGATGCCTTGAGACAGGCAGGAGATCCTTATTAATATTCTGTCACCTGCACCGTGTTCTTACATGGTTTGCTCAGGAACCTGGAAATGTTCATCGCTTCCTCCTACGAGTTTCATCTAAGGCTTCTGTGGCACGCCACAAAAAAGTTTCCATTGTCCACAGTCAAGGAAGAGGAATTCTAGTAAATGCACGTCATCTTTTTCTCTTTATTATAGAAGATGCAAATTATATATCATATTTCAACAATCCTACAGTGAAGCTCAAGGTTATGAATTCTTGAACGGAGATTTGATTCTCTGTCTCCTGTTAGATCTGTTCCAACTCTTACCTGCAGGGGGTGGCCTGGGATGGAAGGACCCCTATAAATGGTCTGGAGTGGTGTCAGGATTTCCGTTCCGCCTAGGTCGGCCCGCATAAGCTTAACCCTCCTCAGTGCCTCCTCCATGGTGTGCTGACTGTACTGCACACTATTGCTGAGAAAAACAGACACACCCAGTGACCTGATAGCCACTTGACTTTGTCCCGTACTGAGACCCTGAACTGAGACACTCTTGTTGTCAACAATCTCACCGAAAATCCCTAGTGCCAAAGTCAATTCTGCATTAACCTTTTTAACAATCTAGTCCGTTCTTTAATTCTCCTTTTGGACTCTATGGCCTTTCTAGAAACTTACGGAAAGAACGCCTCATAAGAAGATCCAAATCCATAGACATTGAAATAACAGCCTACAGGCAAACTCTTCAGCAGTAAAATCAGCGTTTCCTGAAGGAAGCGAGCACAAGGAGACAGTGAGAGAGACCCTGCCACACGCAGACCCTGCCAGTCTAACTCGAGGATGTGGGCCCTCACCCCTTCCCACCTCCAGGTCCCCATATTCCAAGGCCAGCTTCAGAGTGGTCATGTTAGCCGCAGGGTCGGTCAGACGGGGAACGGACCCAGAGTTCCCAGTGGAACCTAATTTAAGCATGAGATTCATCCTCACTTGAGCATGTGACCAGGAAAAGGAAGGAGCTGGTTTTACCTTGGCTGCATCTATGCGCAGCTGAGATCTATCCTTTTGACTCATGGGGCACTGCATGCTTCCTGAGCGGTCCATGAGGAAGACGAATTCCCCGCAGGTAACTGGTGGCTGAGCTTCCGGGATGTTCGGGTAGAAACTCACCATTGCAGAAGGATCTCCCATCAAACTACCTACTCAGAAAGGATAAGATGAAAAGGAAATCAACAATACTAAAGACCAAGAATCAACTACAGCCAGTTACATGGGGAACTGAGAAAACCTGCATCTAAAACACTGTTTGGTCTTAACTGAATCTGATCTTATCTATATCTGGGGTCAAAGGGTTCGAGGTAAGTTATAAACACATTAAAGATAAAGAAACAGAACAGAAGAAAGAACGTAGAGGTTACCGGGCATAAGCAACAACTGAAATACTTATAATTGGGTGCTAGTTTCCCAGCAGCTAGGCAAATGAGTGAAATACACGAAGGTAAAATGTTCCATCGTTGGCCAGAAATTTTAAAGCTAGTTTATTTGCCGAGAGACCCTCTCTTCATATCTGATCGATGGGAAATTTGTAACATGGGTCCTTGTTTAAGTCTCTAATTACAGCTCTGGAAAAAGGATGCTCCTGTGGACAATTCTTATGGTGACAATTTATAAGAGCACAGAGTGTGACTCTTGCATGAAGGAAAATCCATCTGCTTTGGAACATCCATCAGTATAAAGCACTTACTGATATTTTCCAGAACAAAGAAAGAAGCCCAGAGATATGTGCTGGACCCTAACAGTATCATCCAAACAATAATGTGGAGGAGATCACAGGATTCTAGCCTATGTCACCATTCTGTCAAAGCCATAGCTGTGGCTGTATTCTGAGAAGCTTGTAAAATCAACTTAGGAATTGAAATGTGAGTATTGAGACAGAGATGAAATGAGAATGGCTGAGTTATATCAACTCTAGTTTTACAGTTCAGAGACTATAAGAGGTCATAGAACTAAATTCCAATATCCTATTTTAATGAAGTGATTCCAGGATTATAGGTCCAAATTCTTGGTAATCTTGGGATTCTTTAAGACCACACGACCTACGAAGTTTAATCTCTTACCCATGGGATACCCCAATAATCAAACTTGCTTCCAATTAAAATGACTGTGACTTGGCAAGTATTTAATAGAACACTGACTAAAAAATAACTTCTACAGAGATCTCTGGATATAAGGTAGAAGAGCATGGTTTTTTTTAATTTGTTTTGTTTTTTAATAAGTGAGGTACATCCCTTTTCATTCTGAGAGACAATTATTGTGGGACTGGCATCGTACTGATAAGTCAGAAAGGTTGTCATGAGAATGAAATGAATTAAATGTCTAAACTGCTTAGAACAGTGCCAGATATGTTGTAGGCACTAAGTATTATGTATTGTAATTCTTTTTCCTGGCTCAAATTACTTTCACCTCCATGAGTCTCTGCTTCCTTGCTTTTAAACAAGGCATTTAAAGCCCTAGCACCTCTACTTCTAGCCTCAAATTTCCTTATCTGAAGAATCCAGGTAGAAATACCTACTCACGATGATTTTAAGGGTTAAGTGATACAATGTTTTTAAGGAACTCAATCTAGGGTTCAACTTGAATGAAACTCTCAATAATTTTATGAAATCACTTAAGATTTTTGTTTTTATACTATTTTTATTAAAAATCATGTTCTTAATAGAGTAAGTACATTCCAAGTTTTTAAAAAACATACGTTGTATTTTCATCATGTAGTGGTATGCGTCCTTGACAGAACTCTTAACATTTTTAGTGAGTGCAGCCTGCCAGTTGTCATTTGCTTCTCTGTATGAATGGGAATAACCAGTTATCTACACCAAATATATGATCAGAAAAGCGGGTCTGGCAGCCCCACTGGAAGGGATTCACAAGACTTCTAAAGGCTTCCCCTGATGTCTCCCTGTGGCCTGCATCTGGCCAGGGAAACTTCTTGGAAAGAAAGAGACTGAAATCTCAATCCTTAACCTTTTACAATCCAAGCTTATAAAACTTTCTCTGGTAAATTAAAACAATCCTGACTGAAGACCAGGCCACTGTTGTGGGCGTATTTCATGGGCACCCGAGGGGGAACTCACCAAAACCAGACAACTAAGGCATAAAGACAGGGCATGGAGCTGCACGGAAGAGGACCTGGAACAAACCTGGCTGAGGCTGGGAGCCCCTCTAATGGCTTTAGCATGGACACTTTGCCCTGAGGAAAAACGACGGAACAAGACAGCAAACTAAGGCCTTGCAATGTGTGAGCTCCAGTTTGAAGCTACGTCGCCAAACGTTAACAACGGAAGGGAAGGATGGCCTCCTGAGGACCAGCCACAGAGAACTGCCTAACCCAAGGCACAGGATTTACTCTGACTGTCCCGAAGGATGCTTCCACTCCACCAATGTGGGAAATGCTTCAGGAGTGGCTGTATCTTTCCAGTGATGCAATCCAGGGGGCATGGCCACCCAGGAAGGCCCCAAGAGAGCAGCAGACTGACATGGGTTACAACCAGTTATATCCGAAGAAAGAGTACACATGTATTAAGGAAAATTTAGAAAATAAAAGAAACTGGAGAGATTAAGAAGCTAAACTTATTAAGAAACTAAACTAAGTCCTAGAAGTATGATGCTAGAGCAAGACGAAAAAGCTCTGGACATGGATGGTGCTGATGGTACATAAAAACGTGAATGAGACTTAGGGCAACAGAACTGTATGCTTAAAAATAGTTGTAGTAGGAAAGTTTATGTTATAAATATAAATTTCACCGCAACCAAAAAAAAGAACTCCAGATGAGATTACATGTGAAATGAATCAATGAAAGTCATGTATTAGATAAAAAAGGAAATAAAGAAAGCACACTTAGTTTTAATCTAATAACAATTAGTACTTAAATACATCCTTTGTTTTTAAAAGGTTTTCCTAATGCATAGGTTATTTTCTCATGGTAATTTGTCTGTGTAACTTAGTTTCTTTCACTTAACATTTTTTGAACGGCTTTTTCCCATATTATTTCAATCTATCAATACACATGATTTTGGTGCCGCGTAACAACTCATCAACTATACCTAGTATAGTGAATTTAGCTTCTGTAAGACATTTTGACTGTTTACAAATCCTTGATATTACCAAAATGGCACAGGACATTTCAGTGCATATTTTTATTTACATTTAAATTTATTTTCTTAGGTAAAACTCTCAAAATTGGAATTAATAAAATGGAAATTTATTTTAACACATATGGCCCAATTTCTTCTTAAAAGTTTGATACCAAATTATTTTGCTACAAGCAATCTACAAGAGTGCCAAACCTGCCACACCTTATAACGCATGAGGCATTATCAGATTTGGAAATCTTTGGTATTTTGAAAAGTGAAAAGGTGACATCATTATTCTTATTTTATTATATTTTGCATTTGTAGAGACTGATTGTTACCATGTTTGTGAACTAGCTGCGTTTCCTCTGTGAATCATCATGTCCATTGTCCAATTACCTTCTTACCCACGTAACTTTGCCCACAAGACATAACCACGTGATATTCACTGAACCTAACCATTTTTGCATGCCAAAATGTAAGCTCCTTCAATGCTTTCCCCATTACTGGATAGAAGGGAAGAAAAGTGAGGGTAATTCGAGGAGTTTCCCTTTCAAAGGGAAAAAGAAAATACCTGGCTTGGTTTTAGGCTTCCCCATCTCCACAGCTACACTGGGCATATGCACCTCACTGTAGTAAATCAGGAGTTCCACATCTCGATCAAATTTGTGCCCACCAGCCAAGGAAACCTGAGTTGGGAACAAGCAAAAGAATGGTCACTGCTTGCTGCCAGGGGCCAAGGTCAGAGCTGAGGACTACAGACTCCTTCCACACTGGGCATAGTCAGCAGCGGGGGCAAGACTGCACAGCAGGCTCTGGAGATTAAACAGGGATAGAAAAGGAACACAGTGCAATTCCCTCTGGTTAATGGGGCAAAGGAAGGAACATTTAGGAAAGATTGAGTGGGGAACAAGGTCAGGACCCAAAGAAGAGGGATGCTGACAATAGTTAGTGCTCTTGTGAATCACCTGAGCAGCAGTCTTATTATCTCCAAGGTACTCAACAGGCCCCAAGGGACAGTTGGACTGGATCCTCTTGATGCCGTGCTGGGAACTGACGGTGGCAACCAGGCTGAGTGTGTAGGGCAGGTCCTCCAAAGGAACTGCAGGAGTCTTCATATCAAGGCAACTGTCCTCAGGAGATCCTGCAAAGAGCTTCCTTAGTTCTGTTTTTCCCTTCCCACAATTTTTGGCACCCCTACAACCTTGAGGGGCTTTTGCCAATTATGTCACCCACCACTAGAATTTGAAGACACAGGTGACTCACCAGAGAGGTGGTATCGAGGATTCAGGATCGCTGGGAGCACGTAGCGCAGGGCCCCATCTGCTTCCAGGGGCAGCTCCTGCACATACTTCAGGGTGAGGGCCACCTTCGACCCAGGCAACAGGTTCCCCACATTGCAACAGAAGACATCCCCGGACCACTTGTCCTCCTCCAGCAGGAAGGCTTGGTGGCCCTGGCTGATGGCATCCTCATACTTGGCGTGGGCCTAAGGAGAATGAGGAAAGGAAGGTGGTGTCAAAGGTGACATGGTAGATGAAGACAGAAGTGGTACAGCAAACAAAGGGTGATGGGGAGGAGCTGTGGCTGGTCCTGCCAAATTCACAGCTATCCTTTGACTGCCTCTGATTGGTTTTTTTACCCTCCTGATGATTTTAGGCAAATAGTGATTACAGAGGAATGGAAGAGAGAGCGTTCAACATGAGCATTTTTTGTGAAGTTGCATTTTCTAGAGACCCTAAAGTGTATGCATTAAGGAAATAAGAAAGGAGGTGATAACACACTCATCTCTATACCTTCATTTTGTCCTGCAGTTCTGCCACAATTTTCTTCCCATCCACCAATGCCTCAAAGCTGTAGACGGCTGAGTCTTCATCCATGGGGAACACAAAGAAGGCCTCCAAAGGAACGCTCTCCTCATTCTCATAGTTTAAGGTGGCAGACACACCAGCCACAAATTCCCAAATGGATACGGTCACAGAGATGCTCTTCAGTGGTACTGGAAATAGACCGGAGTTTGAGTTCAACAAACTTTAATAGAATGAATGCCTCCAGCAGACCAGACATTGCGCTAGGAGCCAATGATACAGAGGCGAGTGGGAGTCACAAATCAGGCTCACCTGGCTCCTCTTGGCACGTTAGAAGGCCACTGGGGCGCACCATGGTGAGGCAGGGCACTGCGGGAAAGACACATCGTGAGCAGAGTGACATGTTGGGGATCATCTATTCAAATGGTAGTAACTTGTGTGCTTCCCTCTGGCATAAGAATACAAAGAATGAATGATGGAGCTAGGAAGGAGAAAGACGCAGAAAAAGAACAGACAACGGTGCCAGTCGTTAGGCTCCTGCTAAGTGCCAGACCCAGGCAGAGAAGCCGTAAGATTCACTAAGTGCCCCCTAAACAGGAAATCTCTCAAACACACCGAGGCTGTTCAAAAACTGGCTCCACTTTTTGCAAAGTATGATATACTCCTCCTTAGGTAAATTGAGTCAGTGGAATTAGCCCCTCTGAACCTCAGTTTTCTGTCTAAAATGAGTACCAGAATACCTATACATGACATACACATGTATGGTTTAATGTATGTAAAGTCCCTAGAATAGTGTCTACCCATGGAAGGCATATAATCAACAATGACAGACATTAGTATTGGTCTGTTTATTGTTGTTTCTGTTGTGAAAGAGGCCTTGGCTGTTGCTTTAGATCATGCTATTCAGAGACCTGCAAGTAAGAACCTGCCTGATTCAAAACAGATCCCTGCAACTGAGATCACGGACCTTGTGACTTTATTTTGGAGTTCATAATTTAAACCACTGTTTGCTTCTTCTGCTCAAGATATTCTAATATGTATCATATATGCACCATGGCCTCTATTTTAAATCAGGCCAATCTAAATATCTTCCAGATTATAATCTTAGACAACCATTTCATGTGATACAGTAACAAAGAGATAAGTTCATGTACCTAGATTATGACTTCCGCATGATTCTTTTATCCAGAGAATCATCAGGTGGATCTGACCCAAGTCACTGGCCCTAATAACACTCACTGGAAGCCACCTTTGACCACCTGAACTGAATCACTGGGGACCTTGCTTCTCTCTGTTCTGTCAAAGGGTGACCTGAACCGGAATCTCCAACACCAGGCAGGGGAGTTTTCACTGAATATACACATTGAGCTAAAACAGAATTGCCTTGCGCAAAGAGAATGCTGAAATAAAAGTGAAACTGATTTGCTTACCTAGAATCCTTGGGGCAGATGAGTCACTGGGAACTGCAACCTTCACTCACGAACCTACAGACCAGAAAAACATGTGGGCTCTCAAGAAAGGGAATTTTCCTGCCTCAAACAACATCCCCTTCAGGGATTCTCAAACTTTTGGCAGGACTATTTCTGGGCCTTCCCCTCTCATCCCAATCACCACTTAAAACATCATACCCTACTCCAGTCCAGGGTTTTGTGTTTTGAAAAACTGGATAAAAACCGAATGTGGAAAAATGGCTCACATTTAGTAGAAACAAAGGACAGGAGCAGCTGTGGGGAGGGACTGGCTCCAGGAAAAGGTTTTGCATGCAGACGCTTGACTGGGTTAAGGGCTCTGGCAGGACAGGCTGGGCTGGGGGAGGGAAGAATGCCTGATAGCACCAGCAGGGAGTTTACGGAGGGAGAGAGACCACCACGATACAGAGTGCAACAGCTGGACAAATGTGTCAGGTAGCCCACACCCTAAAGGCTCTGCTGTACTCCCCAAGGGGGACTTTAAGGCTCAGAGACGGAGTCCCAGGGGGTCTCCTACAGAGAGCTTTAGTTCCTGACTCGAATCCCAGAACAAATCCATCACTGAGGGAAATGTGTTATTCTGCACCTTTTCCTTCACCCTGGTACAAACTATGCTGGGTCAAAATTAGTTCTTCATCAGGATGGCATCTCTGGAATGCACGGAGCAACAGGTAGGCAAAGACGGGCACAGCAGCTGACGATCGTCAAAGTCTTGAGGCTGAGGCAGTTGGGAGAATAGGGGGCGGCTCGCTGAGCTAGGGGTCTGCCTGCTAGGTGGACCCTCAGGAATCCGGACGCCGTGGAGACTAGAGACAAGCAGGGGGAAAGGGACACGCGGCTGGGGCAGGGGCACAGGACCACACCCCTGTAGCCTGTTGGAGGGAACAGTAAAGCCCAGGATCCAGACTAGGAGCCCACCTGAGTGCGGAGTGGGGCTTGGACAGAAACGGAGGCTGATTTAATCTTTAAATTTTCAGTCCTAGATTTTTATGGTCCACGTATTAATGTATTAATGTAAGGGATCAGAGTCGGTCCCTTGAATATCTTTTTATAAGGAAGTAGGGGCTGCATTCAGATGGGGCTGAGGGTGTGGGATGCCTCAAAGCTCCATTTCCATAGCATAAAATGACAAAAAAAGTGAGAAACCATCAACTATCCATATGAGCGGGAGAGAAGGGGCTGAAGTAAAAGAAAAGTAGGAAAAGGGACCTTGAGATTATTAGGATGGCTTAAATCCCCTTTCTAGACCCCGCCAGATTCCCTTAAACTGCTAAACCTGCAGCACGGCCCCCGCCCCGTCCCCCAGGGGATCACACGCAGGGAATGAAATCCCCACCCCTAGGGAATGCAGTTAAAACCAGCCCCACGGATATGGAGCCGGGGCAAGGGAGTTAGAAGGGGCGGCTCTTAGTCCCCAGGAGCCAGGGGTGACATGCAACCCCAGCACGGCGGCCGGGGCACCTACCTGCCGTTGCAGTCCCCGGGGCTCACGGTCGCAGCGCAGAGAAAACAGTGCCGTCAAAATTTCCCGGAAGACTCGCCTCCTTCTAGGGATCGGTTATAAAGTAGCGACTCCGCGACTAAGGGATCGATGGCAAATTCTTGAACAAGTTTTCTAACTTCCGCTTTTCTCTCGACCAAAAAAGAAAATTCTTCAACCCTGGAACATCTGCTGTTTTCCTTTGCCTGGTATCAGCTAAGGAAGAATCAGAAAATAGGCAAAGGGAAGAGATTTTTTCTTTGTTCAAGCGAAAATGCCTTTAGAGCAACATCCACAATGATAACAAAAACGACGTAATTCCTTAATAGACTTAATTACCAAGGGCTTACCGTGCATCAGGCCCTACTGATAACACTGTGCTGGGCCCTGAACTTCACGGACCTTATATCAGGGACTGTCATCTCTAGTTTGAGTCATTTGTCCCAAGACTGTACCCTCCTTACAGCCCTGAGCGGGGGAAGACAAGGAGTCAGACAACCCAGACAGGGACCAAGTCTTCCAGCCACGGGTCACTTGTGGGGTTTTCATCAAGATCCTAAAATCAAGTGTTGGCGGGTAAGAAACTGAGAGAATCTGTGCTCATTTCCCTGGCTAAAGGGCCCCAGAAATGATCCGGTTTCCTTTACCTTTTCCATTTCAAAATAACCTATTAAATCCAAGGCTTAAAGAAAAAGTCCTCTTGCTGTTGAGAATCTGTATAGGGTAAGGAAGGTATGATATGTATGGAAGTCTCAGCTTGATTTTGGTGTCGCAGTGTAATCGTTGTGGCAAGTTTACTCTCTCAGAGTTTGTTCTGCCATCTGTAACATGGGGGTAATGCCTTACCTACCTCCCTGGATTGTTTTTTAAAGATCCACTGCATCTTAATGGATGTGAAGTATACCCACACTCATGTACGCACATGCACACACACACACACAGTAAAGCACAAATTCTATTTCATCAGTATTAGGCCCCAGAACCATGTTCTTTACTTGTACCAAACCAATCATAAGAGGGAAGGATTCTTTCTCTTGGTAGGAATCACATCTGTCACTGTCTCTCCCGGCTGCACCTTCTGTCTGCTGGCAGAAGCACCTGGGCAACCACAGGGAGAAGCTGGAAGGGCGGCTGAGCCCCTCACCTGACCCAGACAAACTGCAGGGGTGAGAAGCAGAGATCAGCCGCAGACCAGACCCGGCAGCTTGGTTGGAAGGCACTGTATCAGGAAACACACACACATGATGCTGGATATTGGAAGGACAACGATACGAAAAATCACCGACTGGCACAACATACACCATTAAACAGACCTTTCTAGCTATTAAAAATATGGAAGCATTTCATTTATCTGTTTGTTCATATTTTGTTTAAATACAATGAATACTTTCACTCTTCATTTAAACTATTTAATGAATCCAGTGGTCAAACTCTTGAAGAAGAAATATGTAATTCTTATTTTAGTCAACATTTATTTTTTTGGCTTCTACCATATGCAAGCCAGTGTTCTAGACATTGCATTACAGCAATAACAAGACATATCAATACTGAAGCTTACATTGCAGGGTCAAGAAATACTCAATAAACAAATAAGCCTATCAGTACACAAGAAAATATCTGGTAGTGAAAATGCTTGAAGAAAACAAGATACATGGTATAATAGAGAATGAAGAGAGGCTACTTCAGGTTAAATGTCTCCACCCAAAAATCTATCCTTGGGACCTAATGTTGCTAAGTATTCCCCAATATCACCTCCCAACTTTAGCCAAAGTTTAGCCAAGTCTATGGGTTTTCAGAATAAGGACATTTCCCAGCCTCCCTTAAAGCTAGGTGTATGGACCTTATGACTAAATTCTAGCCAATGGGATACAAGAAATGATGTGGGCAACACCACATTCTGCCCTTCCAAAGAAAGTGGGTGGCCTCCCCCTCCTTCTCTCCTCTCCCTCCTCTCTGGTGGGCATGCAGATATATGCTGAGCCATTTTGGACCATGGGGACTAAGGCAAGGAAAATAACCTCTTTGGAATATAAAAGCATATTTGCATAAAATGGAAAGAGAGATCTGTGCATTATGAAAATAGTATCCAATTCATTTCACCACCCACCAATGTAACACATATGCCCTATATTATGCCAGGGTATGTTGATCACAGAATACTGCTAATTTTCATCCAGTTCTTCTGAGAGTCATTTCCCTTCTTGAAATAAGAGCTATTTGTGTACCACATAGAAATATGTAACACTTGTTCAGAACAGACTTTCAATAAGTTTTTTTCTCATCTTCTCATTTCCTGCTGCTCTCTCACTATCTTTATCATCATGGATTTTCATTTAAGTCCCTGTTCTGTTTGTTCTCTGTCTTCTGATGTCTCCATAGCAATTCATCTAAAATTTCCTATTGTCCTTATCATGCTTGAGCCCTTTATGTGTTCTTAAAACTTATAAACCAATAGAGAAATACCCAAGATGCGTACGATTAACACTGGTGGTTGTATATACCCTTAGGCCTGGTGATTGCTATGCACTGTAGATGTGTAAGAGGGATCACAAAAATATCAAATTAACAAATGCTCAGAAATGTACACAAGTCTTATAAGCATTTATTATCTCACTTGTTAGTGATAACAATTACAATCACTAGCCATCATTTTCACGTGATCACTGGTTACTTACAAATTTTATGTTTGGAAAGTTCACATGAAAACTCAGCTCACCAGAAATGTACCATGGATGGACGAACGAAAAAGGACGGATGGAAAAACAACACATATCTACCTACTATGTATATAGATCTTCCTCTATATACAGATCTGCTTCCCTGTATGCTGTGTCCAGATAAACCCACTGTAAGTTGAGTAGGATTATTCTAAGTTGAAAATGCATTAATACACCTAACTTACTGAACATCATAGCTTCGGCAGCCTACTTTAAACGTGCTCAGAACATTTACATTAGCCTACAGTTGGGTGAAATGATCTAACACAAAGCCTATTTTATGATAAAGTGTTGAACATTTCCTTTAATTTCTTGAATACTGTACTGAAAGTGAAAAACAGAATGGTTGTATATGCACAGATGCCTTTAACTGTGTCAGTTGTTTGCCCGAGTGATCATGTGACTGGGAGCTGTGACTCACTGCCCAGCCCCGCATCATGAGTGAGGATTGTATCTTGCATTCCTAGCCTAGGGTAAGATCAAAGTTCAAAATCTGAAGTATGGTTTCTAGTGAATGCAGTATCACTTTTGCACCAATGTAAAGCCAATTATCTTAAATTCAACCACCATAAATTGGGGACCCTCTGTTATTGAGTTCTTCTTAGAAACCGGTGATAAGCATTTTACATGGTAAGACAAACAGCTTTAATTTCAGACAAGAAAAATGGTTTATTATTCATCACAAAAACCATTTAGTTGTTTGTCAGAAATTCCTTAGAGGTTGCTGATAATTGCTTGGCAGTAACCAAGTGTCATTCACTACAAGCAAATATACTTTGGGCAAATCAAAAGTAGATAAATAAATGAGAAAGGAAATCAGAAGGAGAAAGCCCAAGGCTCTAAATCTCTGAGGACTGCTGAGGGGCATCCCTTGCTCACCCAGAGGGTCCAGACTTGTAGTGAATCTAGGAACCAGGTTTTGATATACAGCTGACCCTTGAACAACATGGGTTTGAGTTGTGTGGATCCATTCATAGGCAGATTTTTTTCAATGAATGTGTTGAAAAACTTTTTGGAGATTTGTGACAATTTGACAAAAACATTTTCTTTTCCCTTTGTTGCAAGAATAAAGTATGTAATACATATAACATACAAAATCTGTGTTAACACATCAGCAAGGCATCAACAGTAAGCTATTAGTAAGTAAGTTTTGGGAAAATCAAAACTTAGATGTAAATTATTTGCTATATTGGGTGTCAGTGGTCACAAACCCCCACATTCAAGGGTCAACTGCATTAGCATCAGCTTGGTTCTTCCATAGGTCAGTGAGCTTTAGATTCAGCTTCTGGGGCTCAATTTCTACTTTCTCTACCTAATGATTATGTAATCTTAGGAAAACTACTTACCTTCTATCATGATCATATAATCATTTGTGAAGTGGACTGATTATACCTACCCCATATGCATGTTGTAAGAATTAAATGAAATACTATTTTTTAAGACATTTGTCAGAATTAGGCACTCTTGAAATGTTAGTTCCACTTTCTCTTTCTTGTTTGGCCTGATATTTGAATCCCAAGAATTTGGAAATCTCATATCATTTGGATTCCATAGAGAACCAGCTATTATTATTAGAAGGATTCCAAGTCTCTCATTATTTTTTTCTAACTCTAGAATATTAATTTGCTTTGTTTTGTTTTTTTTACTCACCATCTCTTTCCCTATAATTACTGCTAGTTAAACAAACAACACTAAAACCAACCAACCAGTCAAAGAAAAAAAATATTCACCTTAAAACTGAGTAGAGAAGAAGTAAGAAAAAAAAAAAGAAAAAAGATTCTCACAATGAAGAGAAATCTATGTTCCATCCAAATTCAGTAAAAATCATAGAAGCGAGTAGCATGTGTCAGAAAATGTATAAGCATTATCTCATTTAATCCTCACAATCACCCTGTGAAATACTTTTGTAAATGACAAATATAAGGCTCAGAGAGGACCACTGACTTGCTAAAGGACTTACAGCTAATGAGAAACAGACTTGTCCTTGACACCAGAAGGTTCCGGGTCCAAGGTGGGTCCTCTTTTCATTATTTTACAATTTCTTCCATAACCGTAATAGATAAGGGAACAGACGGAAACTGGAAAAAATGCCAGAGAAGCAGGCTAAATCCCTTGTCTATAGACAACAATAGGGCCCCATGGGATGTCTACCCAGAAGAGAAAACTGGGGTGGCCAGGGCATCCGCAAGCTCTTCGGTTCCCAGCTCCTTTAATGATCGTCTTGCTTACTGCGCACTCTTCTCCCCACAAAGGCCCTCAATTCCCAGCACTTCCTTGCCCCCTGAGCTCAGAGGGTTCCTGCTCCCTGAATCTTGTGATGTCACAGATGGCCTCCCATGGGACTTTGAGACCATTTGAAA